AATGTGGCATGTGCGATTTCTCGAGCAATGCACATAAGTAGACCCCAATTAAACATCGACCTAACAAGGGTCGACCTAACTCGGATTGGCAAGAAAGTTCGAATTAGGTTCGATAGGAATTACGATCAATTTGACCCTCCCATACCTCATCCAAGCAATCGCTGATCCCCAGGTAGGAGAGTCCCGCATAAAGTCATCCGCATATAATCTAGGTTGTGGTACTCGGATAAAAGTGGCGTTAGCAAATACTATCTCGCTGAATCAAGTCATGTACTCTAGTCACGTGAGTAACTATATTCCGATCCGGTGTCATAGCAAGATTATTTAGTTCCACCCAATAAGCGCCTAGTGTGACCCTCCGTCCGCGGGTCCTAGCAACCCGGGGAACACGTCATATATATGAAATCTACAATCCGAATATTTATAATCGTCATTATTTTACGATGTATGAGTATATACCAACACAAAACATATACAACAATCACATACATTTATTTACCCAAACAAATAATGAATCATAAATTTTTTTTTTACCATCGAAAAGGGTACTAGTTCTCGGGCTCATGTGACACTTAGGACTCTACCCAACTTACTAAACCAAAGCTCGATACCATTAAATGTGACGCCCTCGGCTCCCTTGCCTATTACCTAACAAGCGTGACCGATACAACACACTATTGGGATTAAGTCCCCTACTTCCTCCATCATACACAACAAAATACATAGACAACTAAACCGTGAGAAACGTATGATATAATTTACAACATTGTTATAGATAGTTCTATAATTTATAAAATATTCCAAAATGCCTAAAAATTTACAAACTAAGCCCGTACCCCTTTTTAATGACACAAAAGATATTTCTATTTTTATGAGTGTCATATGAGCCTCTTTTAGTGAGAACCGGTAGCATCCTCGATCAACTTAACTTTGCCCTTGCTCGAACAACACACAAATACAATAATAGAATGAGCCAAAGCTCGATAAGTAGGGTGATGCATGTGATATGCAATGCTATTATGTTTCCCATATTTTCATCCATTTTAATCCGAGTACCACAGGTATATGCAAGTCCGTGCGTCCAATTCCTCGGTGATCGTGTTATCACCTATCGCTTTATTACTTTCTCTCGGTGATCTCAATATCACCTACTACTCACAACGAAATTATCCCTCATTGTAGCACACGATTAGTGGAATTATCCCTCGCTTAACGGTGTTAGTAAATAGAGCTCACACTATGGATTTCTTGCTATTACCCATTCCACTCAATTCGGTTATCAAACCGTGTCAATTCAAGACTCAATGATTTTTCTCAATTTATTTCCACCCCCAATGCACATGATGCATATGATAATATGTTTAATCACATTTAACCTAACTCGAGTACCAACCCTTCTTTCTCAAGCCATACTCACGGTCCAACCAATACTCGGGATTCACCCGCGCTCACTTACCAATCATGGTACTCATAGCGGGAACACAACCTCCGCTCATTAATATTGTTCATTAGTTTCATTAATAATTAAAAGAAGGTCCAAATTTTATTTTATTTTCTCTCCGAAAGAATAAATTTTATTTAAAATTTTCAAATCCTTTTTATTTCTATCTAAGTCCACTTATTTTAGTCTAAGCCCATCTACTTTAAAACCAAGCCTTTTGATTTTAGTCCAAGTCCAATGCCAAGTTTATTTTATTTAAGTCCAAGCCCATTAACATTAATCCAAGCCCATTTATTTTAATCCAAAACCAAGTCCATTTTTTTTTTAATCTAAGTATACTTTATTTTTGTTAAATCCAAGTCCATCTCATTTTAACTCAAGTTCATTTAATGGAATCCAAAACCTCTTTTTGTTTTGGTCCAAGCCCAAGTCTATTTATTTTAATCTAAGTCCACTTTATTTTTTTTTAAATCTAACCCATCTCATTTTAACTCAAGTCCATTTAATGGAATCCAAAACCTCTTTTTGTTTTGGTCCAAGCCCATTTGTTTTAGGTTAAAAATTTTCCAGCAGTGGTACATCTAAACAACCTATACCAAATCGGTCATAACTCCTAAACTATAAGTCTAAGAATCATGAAATTTTAATGAGAGATACTACACACATAGATCAACAACTTTAATTCTTTATGTTTTCTCCAAAAATTATTCTAAAATTCTTAAATAAATCACACAAGTTTTGGAACTAAATAAAATTTTTTCAGTAGGTGGTCCATTCAAACGATCCGTACCAAATCAGTCATAAATCCTTACATACGGATATAAAAATCATGAAATTTTATATACATCTAGTAGACACATAGATGAACAACTTTCCTTCTTTGAGTTCTGCCCAGAAACCACGTTATGATCCCAAAATAAATCACACAACTTTCGAAATGAAATATTTTTCCAGTAGGTGATCCATTCGAACAATCCATACCAAGTCAGTCATAACTCCATATATATATTTCTAAAAGTCACGATATGTTAAAGCGATATAGTAGACACATAGATAAACAACTTTTATTCTTTGAATTTGTCCTAAAAATCACTCTAAGAGCCTGAAATAAATCACACCAAGTTTGGGTTTTTTCACCCCTAAAATCCAGAAATCTTCTCTTAAAGCACATTTCTCATCACACATGCTTAACCATCCATCATCAAACATCAAGTGTTTAAAATCATCATAAAATACCATAATCACATTTCACATGAATTAAACAACTCATAAAATAATCATGGAAAGCATAAACAAAGCAAAAGAAAATGAAACCTACTTACATTGGATTAAACTTTCCTAAAATCTCTTTGGCTTCCTTTTAGTTTTCCTTTCTTTTTCCTTTCTTTTCCCCTTCTTCTTCTTCCCTTTTTTCTCTCTTTCTCCCCTCTCTTTCACTCTTTCTTTCTTTCCTTAGGGTAAGTAACGGGATGCACCAAAAATAAGGGCATCCTTATCCATTTCTTTGCTTAAATATCTCATATTTTCTCTCCCAATTAATGAGCAAGCCAAGTGTCAATAGCTTATGGTGAAATGAAATGTAAATGAGGCTTAAATTGTGATTAATTTGAGGGTAATTTATTTAGTTATGTTTCTAAAAATTTCCACCCAAAATATTTGGCAATTATCACTTTACCAAGATTTACTAATTAATTCATCCAAAATTATTCCGCCTAAATATTAACGTACACCAATTACTCTCAATAAATACGTACATAACACATATTTCAGTACATATTTTGACTCGGTTACTGATTTTCACGTACTTAACCGATATACTATCTATATACGTATGAATATAAATATCTCGATACATACACTTATACGAGTTATGGATTTTATGAGGATTACATTAATCGCCTTTTGTATTCTAGGTGCTAGGTGTGGAACCGATCGAAAAATGACGTTAAAAGAAGCAATTAAAGAGAACTTACGATCAAAATCGGTTTAGCCATCGGAAAGCACAAGAAGCATAGGCATGCTAAGTTTAGCGAGCGTGGGCACGCTAATACGGCAAATGTGGACACACCAAGCACGAAGTGTGGGCACGTTAAAAATAGAAGTGCGGGCACGCAGATGCGACGAGATATAGACGCACAAGGACATGAAGGCGCGAGCACGTTGCAACTTGATGCGGGCACGTTGAAATCCATAGAAACAGATAACAAGCCATAGAAAGAAACAAAAATTATTACGATTTGCTAGAAAAAGACACCAACCTACAAAAAGATGAGAGAATATTATGTACCCTTTTTGGAAAATAGACACCCTGTATAAATAGGAACCTAGCGAGACTAGGGCAAACAACTTTTTAATTATTCTCATAGGAGGCAACTTTATTTTCTCTCTCTTTCATGCTATGGCGAGTCTGTCATGAGCAGCTAAACCCTTCTCCTTGGTGAAGGTAACTGAAGCTTTTGGAACTAAAGATTTTGAGGTGCTTAAACATTAATGCAAATCAATTTAGTTATTTCAAGTATTGAACTCTCTTCTATGCTCATTTTCATGATTATATGGGTTAATTTCTAATATGTACAATTAGTAGATTAACTTAGATAATCTATAGCTAGATCAAATATTGAATCCGTAATTGTTCAATCCCTTTGATTTATGTAGCAACTAGGAGTTAATGGTTTGCTACGTCGAAATTAATGACTCTTAGGAGGATTGTTCAACTAGATTAAATGCAACTACACGTGTTATGTTGTCTTGCTTTGTTGATCTTTCTAATACATAAAGTCATTATTTGATTAAATCTTAGATCGTATCTAGGGTTGTTAAATAATGAGGGTTGATTAGAATACATATTTCTAGTTGACTAATCATAAGGAAAGATTGATTTGAATATCACAACAAATATTTGAATGGGCATATGATATTTGGTGCACCAAGGATAAGTCTCAAGTTCCAAAAGTGAAAGTGACCCGAACCAAGGTTTACTTACTTGAATATTTACTTTAAACTCGTTTTTCGAATTTAATTTGTTTAGTTTCAATTATATCTCAATCAAATGAAAACCCTTCCTTTTTATTTATTTCATGTTTCTTCTAGACTTGTGATGACTAATGCGATTGAATTCCTCGTGGGATCGATCCCTACTCTCCCTTACTACATTTGTGTTGTAGGAGTTTAGAACTTTAATTTGGGTGCACACGACAAGCATACACCACCAAGTAAGTTTGAAGAAATGAAAAATCGAAAGCCCCATATAACTCAACAAAAGGAAGACAATTATTTTGTTCAAAGCACAAATAGAAGTTTTTTCAAATTTACACTTAACGATTAAAACCGGTAAAAACACACGGATCAAATTTGGACACCATTAGTTGTGTAGCACAATTTACATTTATGTTCAACAAAACACCAAACACACAAGACATGTTACAGTTTCAAATCAGAGATTTGAAAACTAGCTATGTCCCTTTTAAGAGTAGAAAGTGTTTAGGTGAATAGAGCCTAAACAAATTGAAGGATGAGATGAAGGAAATGATGACCATAAGAACACATGATATGTAGCCACATGCCAATGCCCCACCGATTTGGAAGCAGAATCTAGAGAACTTGCTGCACCACTTCGTCCATTGAAAGACCTTTGCCCGGTTAGGGCTAAAACCGAGTGCTCAAGTGCTTCGCTGAGTGTGCTTGCGAATGTAGCGTACACTACTAACTCGTTTAAAAGACAAAGAAAAATATTATGCATAAACATTATTCATCCGCTTAGTTGTAATACATCTATATATTCAAAACGAAGACTAATGAGTACATCACAATTCACAAATTACTCGGACTTTAGATAAGCCGGTACTTCAATTAGAGATACTAATTAAGCTAGATCTAATGGTTCTATACCAACAAAATTATGTCTTGGCATTAGTTTAGTAAGATGACAATATGGCAAATGAAGTATAGTAAAAGCTAAAAAATTGAAATGAAAGGCATCCAACTTAATGTCTCCGTGGAATGCTTCAACACATCCACAGTAGTAGGTAGGACTATTAAAGTTGCAATCAATAGCCTAATTCGTCGACCGTCATTGATATAATGATTTGCTTATTGATACTCATCAAATAACCAACTCACTCAAAAATATGTCGGATAATATCTTATAATATCATTTAAATGTTTTTTTACACATCTCATTTAAGTAAAAATCCAAACATTTAAACCTAAAATTTGCATAGATCTACGTTTTCTTGTGCTTAATACTTGAAAAAGTAGAAATTGTGAGACTTGAACTCATGACCACTTGATCAACCAAATTACAATACATTGTCAAATAAATCATCTCATTCAAAAGTTTAAACTATTAGATAAACCTCTATAATATGATTTAAATGATTTTTTATCAATACCGATATGTCCGTCTAGAGATGGCAATGGCAATGGCTCGAGTATGTGACTTATGAATTCAATAGACTAAGTATCATTTGCTAATTGACACTAATATGTTCGTTTGGGGATGATCTCCCTAATAGATTAGGTATCTCATTCGTTCATTTAATTCTTTATTTTATTCATTAGTTTATATTTATTAAAAAAATACTTTATAAACTTATATTTGGTTCATATTCAATTTATTGTCAATTTAATACTCATAAACCTTATTCACTCGGTCAACCAAACTATGATATCATGTCAAATAGATTATCTCATTCAAAAGTTTAAACTATTAAATAAATCTTTATAATATGATTTAAATGATTTTATATCAATATTGATATATTCGCCTAGAGATGGCAATGGTAATGGCAACGGATCTGAATATATGACTTATGAATTCAGTGGATTGGGTATCATTTGCTAATTAACCTTATTATATTGGTTTTTGCTAATTGACACTAATATGTTTGTTTGGGGATGACAATAGATTGAGTATTTCATTTCATTCATTTAATTTTCTATTTTATTCATTAATTTATATTTATTAAAAAATTAATGTATAAACTTATATTATGTTCATATTTCGTTTAATGTTTATTTAATACTCATTTAATATCTATTAAATTTTCATTTTAGTGCTTATAATTAAAAAAAAAAAAGTTATTTCAGTCCTTAAACTTATTCTTTTTACAAATTGGTGTTTTATTTATAAGTTTTTTGGTTATCAAAATTTTTATAAAAAAAATTTTTGATCACCATTTTGATAAATTTTATATAACTAGATCTCTATGAATTACTTTTTTTCTATAAATAACAAGCATTAGTACGGTATAAGTGAGTATCTATATCAAAAAAATCATATATATATATGTGTGTGTGTTTTATCTTTAAATATTTCAATAATTATTAAATATTTTTAATTGATATTTATTAAATCAAATATAATAAATGCCCATATCAACCCGATCCATTACCATCCCCGTATGCGTTTTGGCTTGAGATTTCAAAATCAATGTATCTATGGACGTGTAAATGACATGTCTTGGGTTTGATATTCTAGTAGTACAGGCCAGCGTCATTGAACATAGCCCATGATGAGCCACTTTTTTAAGCAAAAGGTAGCAACTAATTAAGCGGTGTAATAACTGACAGTGGATCCACTATTTATGTACTCCAATTATTCGGGAACCGTTTCAATCTTATAATTCAGCACTATTTGTCCTGTTTTAATAAAGTTCTTTAATGACAGTGGCAATGGCATTCATGGGTTTTTACACTCTATTTCCTCTAAATGACAGTATTTTCAAGTTTTATCCACTGCTAATTGGCATTCATACTAAACCGCAGAGGAGTAGAGTGTGAAATAGAAAGGCTAGGACTCCACATACATATAGAAAGGCTGACTGTTTGTGTGCCTAGAAAGTAATGTTCGAGTTTCTGTGATTCAAAGTATTTTTAGCAGTCATTTGGTATTATTTTGTTTTTTTTTTTTTCTCCTTTTGTTTTTAAATATATGGAAACAAAAACATAAAACTTAATATTGGAGTTAAGTATTTCTCATCCCTTTGCTCAACAAACCCATAGAATTGTTGAAGCAGATTTTTCAAATAAAATCAATTGGGTTCATAAAAGTACTTATGAAAAGCCTTGGAAATGAGATTATGTTTTTAATAGCATTACTTTTTTTTGTTAATAAGTTGAACTCTGTTAGTTTTGTTAAAACGATTAATAGATAGAAGGATCAATGTTATAGGTTATAGTTTGGCTAAGCATATTATTAATAGGGAAGAAGAATTTTTAATTTAGCTCTAATTTTTGTAACTTTATTTGTATTTTGCTTTCTATCACTATTTTGCTGACTTTTAATCCAAGTTCATCCAGGAAAAAAAAAAAACATAGCTATAAATATATAACGGGAATGGAGAAACTGACAAAACCATAAGTGTGTGTTTTCTGTGAATGGAGAAACTGGTAATATGCAAAACCCTCACAGAAAAAGAAATCACTAGCTTTGAGTGTCCTGAATAAAAGAAATAATATTAAGTGAGCATGTGTACATGTGTGTGAAAAGATGTACCTGATCCAATAAGCAACAAACCCAGGCCAGATATCTGTAAGATCCCTTGAAGTTTCCTTTACTCCAAGCTGACAAAGAGCATCTACTTAGTTGAAGCAGGTTGTAAGCAGCAGCCACAGCATCCACATACACCAAAACTCTATAAATACAAGGCACACAAACGAAGCAATAATCAGTAAAATCAAGCAAGCGCTAGAATACATAACTCCCAAAAAAGGTATGAATAATTATTGAAATTCAAGAACAATGAATCTATTGGTTAATATATAGAAATAATAAAGAAAGAGTTATTACAAAAGAGCGATCAAGTCCTTATAGGTAACTTCCTTTTCATAGAGTATGACGAACTTTGTTTCAGAATCTATGCCTACTAAACAAGCAGTCAAAACTAAGAGCAAGATAGCACAAGCTCTTAGAAGAGCCTCTATTTTGGCTATCTCAAACCCCATTCTCTCAACTATATCAAACGATCTTAAGCTTCTCTGCTTTGCTCACCATCCCTCTCTGATAGAACCTTTTATAGGGCTTAAAAGTTGAAAGTGGGCTACGGATGAGAAAGAGAAGAAAACGGATGGTAAGTAGATGTCCACGACTAGACGTCATTTATTAAATGCAGCTCAACGTCTAGGTCCCTTGAGGATGATCCTTACTTTGCTTAGGCCGCGATCGTATCTTTATGATCTTAAAAAATTATTATGTTATTCCTAATTTGAGAGGATCATGGATTTTTCTGTTTAAACATGTTGAGTTAACAAACTAAGATTAATATCCATACCAAATAGTGAAAATGACAAAAGAAATCCTCATGGTAAGATCTAATTAATAAAAGCTCTCATTTTGTTTAGGATGGTGTTATTTCCTTTTTTTCTTTTTTATTATCACTCCATCATTCATCATAGAGACAAAAATAACATTATTTAGGGTGTTTCTTGTTTTTAATTACAATCTTAAAATTAACAATAGTTATAATGTTACTTCTTTATTCTTGATTTATATATATATACATAGACACACGTACAACAAAAATATAAGATCATGCCTAAATATTTATTACTTGATTTTTGCAAATTAATATACGAGTCAAGTAATTTTTTTTTTCAAATTTAAAATTGAATTGGTAGATATTGTAAATTTTTTAAATAAGTAATTAACCGAATCATTATACTAAATTTTTTTAAATACCAAAGATCGCATACTATAAATCATAAATTATTCCTAATAAATCTAGTATTGTTTTATGATATAATGACTTCACTGTTAAAGATATATGTTAGGAACTAAAAAGTATGGTAATTATAGATAATATTTACTATTTCATCAATTAGATCTTCCAAGATATATTATTATATATGCTAATTAATATTTTGAATAGTTTAATTACAATAAGTTCTAAAAATAAAAAATAAAAATTGTGATTCATTAAAAGCTTAACAAAGTATTAACAACACCCACTAGCTACAGCATTAAATTAATAAGCAGTACTAATATTTATATCCAAATATTAATAGTAAAAGTTTTTTCCAGCTTAAAATTATAGATTAATATAGATATGGCCATGAAATTTAGCATCTTTATTTTTTTCCATCTTTTTTCTTTCCTCCCTGTTCGAATACATTTCTTTTTTGGTCCAAAATCAAGATAAATGGCTGATCACATGTTTCGAACTGGTAGAAAATGGATATTGCCTCGTAACCAAAAAAATAACATTATTTTAATTTTTTGCTTCCTTATTGTTATTAATTTTTTACTTTTATTTATTTATTTATCTGGACATGTTGCTGCTTTTGATCTAGCATATATAAATATGATTAAATAAATCTAAAGCTACAAGCAAGTGGACTGCTTCCATCATATGAACAGTGTTTTAAGGTGGGTCGATGGCTACTGCCAACTTCCTTCATTAATATCGGTAATGGTGAAAGAGAGAGTGAATGAGACATAACAGTTGCATGTACCTTTAGCATTAAGGCCTTAAGGGGTTCATTCAGCACATGGTTTTCGTTTTTAGTCACAGCAAAATAGAAAACAAAAACAATCACACATCATAGCATTTTTTACAACCACGGCAAAAAGGAAAGTTCACTATTTAATTTGAAGAACTCTCAACCCTCGCAATCCTCACAACATAAAAAATAAATAAATAAAATATTATAAAACCAGAATACATCAGATATGTAGTATAATTAATCCTAATGAACAGTTAACCAAATCATCACATAATTAAGTTCCATACTGTGGGCTTCTTGCATGGCTTTCTTGATATAAAGACTCCATGTTCTTGAACTAGGATACAAGCTATACTCAATATGTTTAGAATTAATTAAAAACTTTTTGTTACTGTTTTTTCAAATAAAAACTGATTGATTATCAAAATTTTTTAAAGTTAGGCAAATCATGATCTTCAAAAGTTGTGACATAAGTTATCCGTTTTACATTTTTGTAAGCAAAAAAAAAAATATTAATAAAAAAAAGGAGTTTTGAGTTTTCATTTAAAAAAATTGAAGGATAAAAAAGATTATTATTTATTGGTTTGCCAAATTTTTTAATTTTATTATTTAAATGCCTTTATTTTTATTTTTCTATTTAAGTATGCAAATTTTTAAATTATTTCTAATCCGAAAATTGTGTTAGATTTTATCAAATACATACTAACATGACAGTTAAATTGACATTTAGCATGCTGATATGTTTGATCGATTTATTAAGTGTTTTTAATTTTAAAAGTTAACAAATGTGCATCCTTATGTAGACCCAATTAATATTTTCATTCTTATTTTTTTCTTTTTACTTATATTTTTTAAAATTTTTGTTTAATCAATGAAAGAAATTTACATTTACAACTAATTTATTAAAATAAAATTTTAAATTTAAGTTGTATTTTCAATAGTAATTTTAATTCAAATAGTACAACAAAAGATTAACAACGCAATTTAGTTCACACTCACCAATTTAATATATAACTAGCTAGATAGGTTAAGTTATTTTATGTGTTCGAGTCTGTTTGGCTCCCTTTCTAACTTGTGATGTGTTGCTTTGAGTTGTGATTGAAGCAATAATTTGTTGTATAGTACTCTAGGTAGTTCAAATTATGATGAATTTAATTTTGATTTATGTGAAAATAGAAATATATATATATATACAAACTAGCCTGAGGTACAGGTGACTTCAATAGCAGATACTGTAGGGATCCAACAGTGATAGGCATTGTGGAAAAAGAAAGCCCACCTAGTCACTCGAGCCTGATTGAATGACGCAAATTAATTTAAAATAAATAAATATTCGTTGAGCAAAATACAAATGACTTCTACAAGCGAGACTAGTCTATCGTCAGTTCAGGAAAACAGGATAAGATGCATCCACATATAGCTTCGTAATTGATAGACAATGCTCTCCCCAAAAATTCGAATATTTTATTTCTCAAAAAAAAAAAAAAAATTATTGCTTTTTTATTCCATAAGAAATTAGAATCATTATTTTAAAAAAATTAATAAATACTGTTTTCTACTCTTAAAATACTATTAATTTATGTAATATAGTTCCAAAAAAGAGGAAAAATACATAACATTCTAATTTATATTTTACATAATGATTCTAAATTCTAATCTAAGGGATTGGAGTTCTGACATAAATATTGGTATGCTAGGAATGGTTTAATTAATTTACCATTTTATCTATGTTTTTGTAAAAATTATTCAAATTATGCCTTTATGTTAATATTGTGCTCAGTAAGAGTTGTTTATAAAATTGGTTCAGGTCATATAAATAGAGAACTTTTAACTCACTCAGTTATTAAGGATTAGTAGTTAATAGTTAGTACGGAAGGAAAAAAACTGAATTATTATGACGAACCGCGTTGATTATCACTATAAACACAAAATAATGAGTGAAACCATTGGACATACAAAAATAACATTATATTTTGTATAAAATGATTGACAAATAAAGCAATGTTGTATCTGCCTAATTAATAAGAATTAATTTGAACCCAAATCAAATCGCATGTTCCTTGCCTCAGTGCCCTTTGACTCTTAATTGATTATGACTATAGTGTGAACGTGAATCATTTCTAGGATCTGCTTGCTTCATATTCTATTGTACAATTCCTATTTTATTCATTTAAATAACACATCAGACAAAATGTGAAAGGAATCCAAGCGCAAATGTTCTACAGTAGCCCGAATAAAACTTCAATTCTGGCCTATGTATCTATCTCAAAGCATTACATACTTTAGTCTGAAGAAACTTCAAATGAGGTCTTGTTTCTTTGTTACACCTTTTGCTAATTAACCTAGATCACCCGGCATGGAACACCACGCTTCTTGCTGACATTTTGAGATCTTAAGCATAATTACATCATTTTCATGCTTTAATTACAAATATATGATCAGCGTTAATTAATCATCCTGGCATCTATAAATACTTGTGGTATAGCAAGGCTTTTTCACAAGACCAAAACACACCTATCTTGTTGGCTAAAATCAAAAACAATACATTCATCACCAATGGCTTCCCTCCAAAGTTTCAACTTTGAAAGCCAAATTCCTGCTGAGCTCCTCATAGCTCGCATAATGCAAATCCATGCTAGCATATCCAAGCTTGACTCACTAAGGCCTTCTGAGCAAGTCAATAGCCTCCTCTCTCACCTTGTGAAATTATGTACCCTCCCTTCATCCATTGATATTTCTGGCTTACCCCAAGAGGTGCAAGAAATGCGCGATAGCCTCATCAATCTATGCGGTCACGCTGAAGGCCTATTAGAGCTTGAATTTGCGACATTCATGATCAAAACACCTCAACCCTTGAACAACCTTAACCTTTTTCCCTACTATGGGAACTATGTCGAGCTGGCCAACTTGGAATATAGGATCCGTAATGAAAATGGGGTGGTGCAGCCTAAGAAGGTAGCCTTTGTGGGTTCAGGTCCATTGCCTCTCACTTCTTTTATAATGACTACACATCATATGATATTAACTCATTTTGATAATTTTGACATTGATGAGGCTTCTAATGACGTCGCTCGTCAAATTGTTGTTTCTGATGCTGAGCTTGAGAAGAGAATGAAGTTTGAGACGAGTGATATAATGAAGGTTAAAGAGAAGCTGAGCGAATATGATTGTATATTTTTGGCTGCTTTGGTTGGTTTGAACAAAGAAGAGAAATTGAAGATTCTTGACCATTTAATGAAGTATATGAAGAAGGGTGGAGTTCTGCTTGTAAGGAGTGCAAACGGAGCTAGAGCATTTCTGTACCCAGTTGTCGAGGAGCATGACTTGCTTGGCTTTGAGCTTCTCTCCATCTTTCATCCTACTAATGATGTGATCAACTCGGTTGTTCTCGTGCGCAAGCCTGCCTTCTGACGTATAATAACCCTTTGAGCTGCCATGTTCTCTAGTTTCCTTCTTGGAGGGGGGCAAAACGTGTATCTTAGGTCTCTGTGTGTCTTTGGGATTTTCCTTTCTGTTGTGCACTTTTATGTTCTGTATTAGTAAAGAAGAATGTGATGGTATTATGTATTGGTATTTGTTTTGCCTTTTTGAGTAGAAGTAAATTAACTACAGCTTACTGAGATAAATAATCGCAATTCTAATGTTCATTTACAATCACAAATATGATTTTCATGCTTCAATGGCACCATAAAGGTAATGCTTTACTTAAATGATTTTCTTCCTAGATTTCTCGAAGAGTAATAATTTCTAGGAAGTTGCATTGGTTGGTAAAACAGGTAACATATCTTTTGGAAGCTCAAAGTAATCTAGAAAAAAAATTGTGCAAAATGTTTCAAATGATACTTAGGTCCCCGTTTTTTTGTTGAAAACTATTTCTCTAAAAAGTACTTTTGTGACTTTTTCATGTTTAGCTGCTGCATTTTGAAATAATTAGTCAAAAGAATTTATTTTCAATCAAAGAAAAAATTAAGTTTTGTAAAGAGGAAAATGTTTTTCAATTTAAAAAAACGAAAAACATTCTATGAAAGATTCAAAAACTTAAATGAACATTTTATTATTCTTATATATATAAACATTAATATATTAATAAAAATATATAACACTACACACCACAAGATGTGGACTAGCTATTCTAGACAAATGAAACTCTAGAGGTTAGTCCTAGTTCTAAGATCCATAAAAAAATCACTAATAAACTTGCATTTCTGACTTTGCATGGCAGAGTGCAAGAGCTTCAGATGGAAGGAAGGACTTCACAAATCATAGCCTAGGAGCCGCATCATTGTTAAACTGCAACGAAGAAGAAAACATCATGTTAGAATTTTGTCTGCGTCAACTCTTGAATATGTCTGTACCATGATCAAAGCCTAATATCAAATTGCCACTTAATTTGTCAGTCTGAAGAAAACTTCTGCACGTGAAATCGAGGATTTAAGAAAAAACATTATTTAAGAACCACAGCTTGAAATATCATGAATCTTGCTACAAGTCACTGATAACAGATAAGAAGTAATAAGCCAGCTTAAATTTTACTTGCTATTTCAGTGTAATTGATAAGAAGAGAAACCAATGAGAAATATATATTTATTACCTGCTTGACCATCTCACTAATTTCCTCATCCATGTATAGCCTAGCCTCGTCATTATTCATGAGGTCTATCCGCAGTGGGTTTTGATCCCCGTATCCACAGTGACTATCACGCTCTCTATAGTTGGAAGCTCCAGTTCCACATAGATTCTTAGAAATTCGTCCCTCATCCTGCCCTGAAAATGAATGACACGTACAATCCATATATATTAAATAATACGACCATGGAAAAGGCCTTGTTAAAAGAGGGCCACTAATATATACCTAAAATGTGAAAGATAAAATAAAAACCATGCACAAGTAACGATCAATGTTTGTGGTTCTTGTTAAGCTCCTACCTAAAAAATTGAAATTATAAACCTGACAGCTATACCATGTTCTAGCCTTTATCGTTGTGCTAAAATAGCTATAACAACAGCCAGTCCTTTTTTTTTTAGGGTTTATTCTGAATTGCTTGACAATAGTTTCCCATATTTCATTTTCCAACAAATTATTCTAAATAAGTTTCCCATTGGGCATATCTATTTGGGGCTGCCATGCATGGTTCGAAATTTTGACAAACATTTGATATAAACCAATGAAAACATAAGCAAATCATAAAATTCTCAGCAAAGGTACAAAAATTGCATACCGGCAAAAGGATTCGGACAAGAAAGTACGGAAGCTGGACTCGTTTCAACTGAAGTATGTCCAAGCATTGGAAAACATGGATTGAAAGAAGCAGCAGGAGAATATAAAAAACGTGACATGTCACATGGAGCAGGATCGCGGCCGAAAAACTGAGAACCCATGTACTCATTAGGCAATTTCCACGTTGAACTAGCTGCTGAGAAGTTTAACCCTTTGAATTCTGGCACGGGAAGAGAATTTTGCATTGTTAATGTAGTTGAAGAAGATTGTCCTTCCCCATCATTAAGCATCCTTTCCTGCATTACCACATTGCCGAATAACGAGTTTTCTTGAAAAGCATTGTGGTTTCTTGGTTGAAAGAACATTTGTTTCGAATCTATAAAAGAACTAGCAGTTGGTGGTGAATGCGACTTCGGTGTAGAATCACTAGCATTGCTCCAGAGACCATTCTTAGTGAATGAAATTCCTCTATGCCTATTGGAATCAACCACAAGGTTCTCTTGTTGGCTTATTTTCTCCTTGTGCTTCTTCAACAAGTTTCGATATTTCTGTTATAATACGGAAAAAGAAAAAACAATGTTATAAAAATATAATCAAGTAAATTGCATGGCTTAATTGCAATAGTCATTACTTTGCAACAGTAGATTTTGGATGAGAGTGTATGATCTAACTTACCTGAAGATGACTGGCAATGTTTTCTCGACTAAGACCTTCCTCGTTCATCATTTCGCGAATTCGTTTCGGATGAACTCCTATATGAAAATCAAATAGACTCTTTTGTCAGATCACAAAAGGAAGATATGCTAACACACGTTAATTCCATGAAAAAAGTAGCAAATTATCAAGAAAAGTATTAATCATGTCAGTAGCTAGCTAAAACTATAGAAGAGAACTTACTCTCCCCTTTCGCTTCTATTCGCTGAATGCAATCAACAAATTTAATATGGAGCTCAGAGGACCATGTCACCCTAGGCTTTTTCCCACTAAAAGGATCTCCACTCGGATTACCCATAATTTCTTTCTCTTCAACGTCCATGACATCTGCCTTGAGTTCCTGTAAAGGAACTGCTGATTCTTGTTCCGTTATTTCCTTTGTAATTCTACTAGATCTATCGGAAGAATCAGAGAGCCTCTTCCTGATGACATGCTGCCATATATTCTGGATTTCATGTATTCTTACAGGTTTTAAGAGATAGTCTCTAGCTCCATGCCTTATGCCCTTCATAATGCTGCTTTTACTATCATCAGCGGAGACCACTGCAGTTAAACAATATACATGTACATATCCAAAGTAATTAGTCAAGGGAAATGCATGTGCAAAGACTTGAAGATTGCTACAGGAGTTTCTAAGCTTACTAATTACGGGTAAGTCCATTTCAAGGCCTATGATCTCCAACAGCTTGAAACCATCCATGTCAAGCCTTTTAACATCAGTAATAACAATGTGGTAATCATTCTTGTTTTCCCTCAGAATCTTCAATGCTTCAGTTGCTATTGTTGTGGATGTAACTACAAGAAATGAAAATTGGAAAATTCAAATTAATTCTCTGTGAGGAAGTAGCTATATAGAATCATACAAATTTAAACTGTGATGTATACAAATATGGCCATGTTAATGCCTTCAATCTAAACTATAACCTTGATCATAATCACTACTACCTTGCAATTGGTTCTTTTAAACCTAACCGTTATGGTTTTCATAATTTAGGCAAGTCGTAGGTTGAAACACAATCTATAAATAAAAATAAATTATTAATTAAGACATTTTGTTAACAAAATATGCTCATAAATGATCTACAATATTCAATTTGATTCCTATGTTTCTTTATTAAATGAGATGCTTATGTTTTCAAAACCTGCAAAGTATTGAGAAATAAAAGATTGTAAGATAATTTTTCATCCCGTACAATAACTATGTACTATAACCGTAAATAGAAGCCAACACCTGTTTGGACAAAATTTTCCTGTAGGCAGATTTTTATGGGCTTTAATAATAATAATAATAACAATAACAACAAATGATGATGATGATGATGATGATGATAAGAAGAAGAAGAACAACAACAGTTAATAACCTATAATTCAACATCTTTTTCTTTTATTAACCAAAAACAGGTGAGGATATGGATTTGGCGGACAATAATTGATGAGATTTATTTTTGGCTCCTTAATCCTGCACGAATTAATATTTTTGTTTAGGGCAACATTCAAATTATTGTAGGAGGGGTGACTAACAAATTAAAGAAAATTAGAGAGACCTTTTGATGAAGAAAATAACTTGGGATCTTTTTCTCTTCTCTTCTTTTCTTTATTTTATTTATTTTATTTTTTGGACGGTTCCTTGCTTGATCCTATATTATTTCTACAAATTCCGAGTTCTTTTTTAATTCTTCTGCTTCAAAATATATAATATTTTTATGATTTAACAAAAAGAATATATAGTTTAAAGCATCCATAATTAAGAATATATGAAAAACCCAAGATTTGTAAAACAGTTACCAAGACTTAAATTGAAAACAAACTATTAATTCTTTATGTGCTAAATCTCCACATAAATTCATAAAAAAGTTCATCTAAGTAACTAGAAAGGAATAACGAACCTCTGTATTGACACTTTAGGAGCATGGCTACTAAATACTTGAGACAGACAACATTAGCATCAACAGCTAGAACTCGCAAATCTGCGGGATTGAACACGTCGCCACTGCCCTCTTCATGCACCCATATCTTACTCACTTCTTCATTATTTTCAGCCATATTAGGCTCCAAACCAAGATTCTCAATCGCTTTCTTGGGAAATTTGAGAAAGATTGTGCAATAAAGAGCCTTGGTAAATCCTTGTGTGGGAGAAGAAATTTACATATACGTCAAGAGGAGTAATAATTGCAAGCATTTAAAGTTACTATAATTAAATAGTATACAAAAATTTCTATAATTATTTATGGAGATATGATTCTGTATATTAATTGATTTATTGATGGAAATTAAAAGAACAAAAGAAAAAGGAAAAATATATGAACCCCTCAAATTTAATTTGCCTCAACGATACGTTCTTTATTGTAAAGGTTATAGTTAAGGAGGTTTGGTTTTCTCATTGATTTTTTGATTTAATATTTGGAATCGGAATTTAATAGTAACATTAAGAGAAAATTTTCTGAATATTTTCCATGGTTTTGAGGGATGCATTTTTAAAATTGCTGGAAAAAAAAATTGAGGTGCAAATTGGTTTAAAGATTCTTTTTTAGCCAGTTGAATAAAACTAGTGAGATATATATATAATCAATCCCTTCGTCCATTCCAATTGCAATTGGTCAACAATCAAATTTTGTTAATGGTTGAATTTCTCAAACAACATACGGTTGTCACCTAGCCTATGTGTTCTTTCAAAGGTTACAACTTTTGACAAAAATAATATGCCAAGGCAATTTAAAGGATGGGATTGCCTTTTTAGAAATTGCAAATTGGAATAGTCAAGGTACCATTAAACCTTGAATGTGTAATCGAAAGTACAAGCATGTACGAATTAATTGTAACTAATTATGTAGAATTTTAATTTTATTAAATTAACGCACATTTTTATTAATTATTTCATGCTCATTCAAATAGTTTTAAAATTATTAACGATATAGCTTTTTTTCATTTATATATAGAATTTTGACATCACCTATGGAATTAAATTGGTTGTTAATGCATATATAATTATTCTTTGACTGAAGTGATATATTTATCGAAAGTCCAAAAACAAGTATTAGCAATTTAGCATGCCATAGAAATAAAGGATTAATGATAAATTTTACTCTTATTCTATTGTGATTTGTCAATTTCAAGCTCATAGTACTAAATTGTATAATTTGAACCCTAGAGTGTTAAATATTGAAAAAATATGATCCAAATTGTTCATTTTTCGTTATATGTAACCATCAATCGAATTGAGTGGATTTGAAATGTTAAAACAATGTTGTTTTGGAATTTTATTATTAATTATGTTTTTTTAATTAAAAAATATATTCAACCTGAACTTTTATTTTTATAAAATATTATGAAAATTTTATAAATTATATAAAAAATATTTTATAAATATTTTTAGCCCCCTAATTTTGAAATTTTTTTTAATAAATGTCATAGTAATAAAACATAATTAACAACACACAATTTTTTGGCCTTAAACAATATTTCATAAATTAAAATGAGCATAATTAAGGTTGACCCCCAAATTTTATAAATTATATAAAAAAAATTTAAAAAAAATTAAATTTGGGGGTTAAAAATATTTATAAAATTTTTTTATATATAATTTATAAAATGTTTATAGTATTTTATAAGGAAAAAAAGTTCAAGATTAAGGAGTTAAAAATATTTTTAAAATATTTTTTTAAATATAATTAATAATGGAATGCTAAAATGATATTATTTTGACATTCTAAATAACGATCAATTTAGTCGACGAGTTACACATAACGAAAATTGAGCAATTTGCATCATATTTACTCAATTATACTTTAGGATTCAAATTATATAATTTGATACTATTGACTCCAAAATTATCAAATCCTAATAGAATAGGAGAAAAAAATTACTATTAAACATAGAAATAAACAACAGGCAAAAGAAAAGAAAAAGGGAAAGGGAAAAGAAAAGAAAGGAAGCCTTAAACCGAAGAACTTGGCTTAAAAGAGGTGGATTACCGGATTGGCCCCAACTAATTGTTCATGTCTTATTGGGCTATTTGTTGCACAGCTGGAGTACGAAGATGGGCCAGGGCCTCAAATTCTAACAATTAAAGATTTATGGACTTCTTTTAAATTTATATGTTTTTTTTCGATCAAAATTTTCTGTGCTTACCAGCACAAACATTTACTTAGATATATGATTGGAAGACAGAACCTGAACCTTGATTTGATAACAAAAATACAATACTGAATACATTAAATTCGTAAACATCATATAACATTTCGATCTGTGATAATGTTATTTATCAAAAACATGTGATCATATGTTTTGATCACCAGGAACAAGAAAATACTCAAAAAAAAAAAAAACATGGAGAACTGAATATGGAAACCGATGAAAATAATAGTTGAAAAATATGTAAAAGTACTGAAAATTAAGATATGTATTTCATTTTTCATCGCCAATTGCTTTTCTTGCTTTAGGGAAAGTTGGCGACATAGCACTCACGAGGGAGGCCTTGTGGGAATCGTTTGGTGTCTTTGCAATAGTCATAGATCATGTAATTGTCTTGCACCCATTTCAACTTGCCTTTGCGTTCGAAATTGAGCTCTTCCCAGACCCATGCGTTGCTGATGGAGGCAGGATAGCCAAATTTTGTCTTACAAGAAGAAGCTCCATAAGACCAAGTACAGGCATTGACATTGAAGTTCCTGAAGGAAGCAACGAAGGGTGCTTGTGTCCAATCCGTCTTAATTCTTCCACCCCATGTTGCCCAGTCATCAGCTTCCCAAAGACTAGAGTAAATCCTCATTGGTTGGTTCTTAGGGAATGGAACACCGATGGACTCCAAGTTCTTGAATTCTCTAATTGCAATGCCGTCAACTGAAAAACTAAAATGACAAAACACAGAAATTAAGTTACAGGATTTTTATAAGAGATAGTGCAGGTTTAAGATCTAAGAAATTGTTTTTACGTACATTATGCGTTTAGGATTCCAAAGGATGGAATAAGTGTGGAAATCAGCAGTGGGGTCAAACCACAGATAGAATTGCTGCTCTTTATTACCTTTACCTTGGCTGAACACATTAGTGTGAAGTGTGTAAGGTTGACCACTTACATTTCCTAAGAATTCGAAGTCTATCTCATCGTGGTATGGCCCTAGTGAGGATAGCTGCATGCAGTAAATAAAATAGGACCAGTAGCTAGTTTGTTAGGCTTTAGAAGATGATTCATTACATTAAAGCAAATGCATTTTCAAGAGACTTACGTAATATGTTGTGACAGTGCCGGCCGAATTGCCAGGGACAAGCTTGATGTCAATATCAATGTTGCCAAATAAATACTCTTTCTTGGATTGAAATCCTGAGCCGGAATTTTTGTCAAGAATGAGATCGAGACTATTCTCATAATCGTGTACGTTCACGTGGTCAAGTCCCCAGTTGACATAAAAATCTTCGTAGAAGCTGCCAGCAGATGCAACCACCAAAAAGTTTACAATCAGAAAGACTAGAAGCCCTGCTTTCATTGTTGAAGAAAAATAATCAGCGATTGGCTGATATATTGTGCTGTTGGTATTGCTATATATGCAATGGGGAGACTAAATGATTATAGATGGAAGGTAGAAGCGCGATTGTGAATTTGATGAGTTGATCTGAATCGGGTACAATTTATATAGGTATAGGGGAAAGTAGGCAGGAAAGATTAGGTAATGCAAGAGAGTAATCCTAATAGGTCTTGGGCAAAAAAGTTAGCTGTAAATCAGCAGTTTGACACCAAATAATGGGGTTCCATGAACAATTTGCAAAGTTGGACTTTTAATGTCTATACCAATAATCATACACGGCTTTTGGAGGTCTCACCAACCTCTCTATAATAAAATACATTTCAATAAAGAAAAAAAAAAGGGGATCGGACTAGTTTTCTGAATTTCCCATATATATTTTCTTTAGGTTAGGTTTTTTGAGAAATTGATAGGCAATTTATGCGTAACTAAAAGCAATTACATTACACATTCTATAAAATAAAACTAGAAAAAGGGACGATACTAAGATTTTGACTGCCAGCTCAATGATTAGTTAACACCACCACTACATGTTTCCCACAACCATAGTCCTATTTAATTCTCATAAAAAATAGAAAGAAGTCCTTTATAGTAAAGGATAAAACTACGTCAACGTCAAAGTAGCTTAATGAATTTGTTGCTTCCTGGTGCTTTTGCAAAAGCCAGATGGGAGTGGGGTTCGACTCCCACCTTTGTCAATCTATTATTAACATAACCAAATAAAACTGTCAAACATCTTAACAAAAGGAATTGCAAAGATGACAAAGGAAAGAACTCAAGACAAACATGGCAGCATAGCTCACACAGACAACAGGAAGGTTAGGCTCTCTGATGGGCTAAGGCTAACCTTCAAAAGTTGTTTTTACCTCCATTCTATTGATAAGAGCATCATGCATGGCGTTCTTATATCTGTAATATCTAGATTGAGAAGAATAACAGATTGCATAAGAAAACTTGCAGGTCTGCTAGTGTTGTGCAGTGTGCAGTCTATTTGTTCTGAAGTTAAAATGAAGTTCCCTGCCATTAGGTCTTTAGTCAGAACTGTTTGCCTAAAGCAATCGAGTAATCAGCAGTCTATTCATGCTCCAAAAAATGGCGAGCTGTTGATTTTACCAAAGGAACATGCAGTAAGGATTTCCTTGGAGGGAAATAGCAATCAAAGACAAGGAAATTGAGGTGGGGATTCCGTGAAAAAATTGTGATCACGAGCTGTTTGCTGGTTTTATGCCTTGTTCTCTGTTTCTAACGCTATTATCTAACTTGTTGATCTATTCCGGCCGTATTGCCGAATTGGGTCAAATACATACCATTTGTGGGTGTCAACACACAGCCCAACAGAATCAAATTTCCTTTTGGTAATATCAACAATGTAATGTTATTGAAAAATGTAAATGCGAAATCACGTCTGAAGGACTGCGTCAGGAACTACCAATAAATTCATAGTGCTTCTGGAAATAATTAGTGTAATGTTACAGATAATTTTATAAAGTTTGTTTAAGAATTGGAATAGTTCTGAAAATTTAGG